CGAAAAATCCGAAAGTACATAATTGAAAAAAAGTTATGAGGTTTTCCCCTTTTCCGCCGAAACCTACATAAGGGGAACCACGAACACTATCTCCGAAGCAAAGAACAATGGAGCGAAGGATGTTTAGGTGGAATAACTGCTTCCAGTGCCTGGAAGCATTCCAATAACATCACTAACACGAAAGTACCTACATCAAATTCTAGCCGATCTCGATATTTTTTGCTATATATGCCCAATACCTTTAAAATTTAGTTTAAAAAAGCAAAACAATAATAAAAAAAAACGTCAAAAAAGTTACCTGATATGGTTCGGGTGTGTTTTTATCCCGAAATATTGGCACATTGATGGCCACTTTTTCACCGCGACGTTCTCTTATGTTTCTCACCAAATTTCGAAACCTTCAAAAAATACAGAAATGTAAAATTAGAAATTCAAAAAAGGCTACTGAATGGAACTCCAAGAAAAAATGCGAGCGAAATCTTTGATAAGTGGAAGGGGTAAAAGTGGGACAAGTAAAACCCCATTCAAAACTTCACCATACTTATTATTTTCTATAAAATTTCGGTATATTTCTCATTTTTTTCAGGTCATTACAACAGCAGGCATAATTTTCTTTTTTTCTCTTATCCTCTCCTTCTTCTCGCCTCATTTATACTCTTTAATCCCACAATCACAGGGTTCCCCTTTCTTTCATTTTTCGCCTTTTTTCTCCTCATTAAGCACTGCGATCGTCACACTGACCAGGTCCAGTTGCAGTGTTGAGCTAAGGCGTACATGACTTAATGAATCGAAACGTCTTATCTCACTCTTACCCTCTTTTTTATACTACTCTTTCTTTCTGAATTCCATCGAACCTGCTCTTCCAGTACCAATCTGGTTGCTGCAATCTGCATAAAAAAAAGAAAATGGAACTGAAAACTATAAATACCTAGGATGTCCTGCATAAATTCCTTCATCCGGAAAAAAAATGGAACGGCCGGCACCAGTTTCATCATCAGGACGTGGCTGATGTGATGGGAATGTAAAATCTGGGGTGCCAAGAGCTGGGAATGATACTGACATAACCGCTTCGTCATTTTTCAATAGCCGCGTTACTTCTGCACGACGTCTTATCATGTTAGCTTCCACCACATTGAAACAGGCTAGTAAACCTAAAAAAGTTTTTTGTCTAAATTCAAAAAAAGATTATCAATTTAGCAATTATTTATCAATTTAACCCACTCTAGCCGTCGCTCCAATTGGACCTTCTAATGGCTGTTACTTATCATCATTGGTACCAAGAAGGCACTGTTTTCGAACGGATGAATTATATATTTGGCGTAGTGAAAAACAGTACTGCTGCCGTGCAGAAATTCGAGGGTTCGACCCTCCCCTCCCCTTCTCTCCCCTCCTCCCCCCTTCGATTTATTTCGATGGTAAATTGGTACAGGCATATGCCATGGAGTCAAATTCGCCATCAGCTTGCTTGTAAGCATCGCTCCGAAGAGGCTAACAATTCTACCAGCGTTTGGTTGCTACTGGCATTTCGTAGCCTTCGCTTTTTATTTTAATTCGTTTTCCTTCCCTTCTTTTTCTATTTCATCATTTTCTACCTTATCCTTTAATTAGAAATACTTCCACGTGCCTTCCCCTGTTACAGGAAGCGGATATGGGATATGGGGGGAGAGGGGGGGGGGGTTCAAATGTTTCCATCTTACACAGACAGCGAAATCGGAGGGGGTTTTTTTTTAAATAAGCAAACTGAAGACAGAAAATTACAGGTTTTGGAGGCTATTGCTTTGTTCCTAAACCCCAGAACTACTGAGATATTTTGAGAAAAAAATGATTTGATGTGTACCAGAAAAAAGAATTGCCCTCAGAACGATTCAACGAAAAATTAGAAACCTCCGTACGGAGCACCGGGAGTTCCCTCAAGCATATAGGCCGCAAATTCGGGACGCCATAGCGAGAAATTTTCGGTCCCCAACAGTGCATTTACTTCTTCGCCAGCTTGCAAACGACCAAGGATTTCTTCGGCTCGTAAACTTACACGTACCTGAAATACAAGCGATGAAAAACTTCACAGCACATGGTCTTAGAAGACCAGAGGAAGTTACCATCAGGCAGATATAATGATGATTATTGGTAGATTTCGCTCAAAATTCCTTTGGGATCATTGATTTTTTTAAAAAAAAAAGTGTTAAAAAACAATACACAAATTTTGAAAATAGAAAGGTATTTTGAAATAGGAACGAGAATATGGAAAAGGAAATAATAAAATTAAGAAATTAGTAAAAAAGAAGTAAAATTATTTTAATAATATAATAATATAATACCATTATAATAATATAATATCATCATAATAAAATTATTATAATGGTCTTATATTATTATAATGGTAGACCGAAAAATTCCTTACCATTATAAATATTTTTTTTTATTACAATAATTTTATTATAATGATAAGAAATGTTTCAGTTCATTAAATCGTATACATTTCTTACCATTACCACAGCTGGACTTCGTCAGTACGACGATTGTTGGTAGGTGTAATTGATATAATTTTTTTTTTAAATTAGTTATATAAATTATGATAGTAAAAGTAGAAAACGTGCGTTAATAAAAGTAGAAAGTATTATAGATGATGGGTAGTAATACGATAAAATAACATAACCTTCTTGGCAGTATCATCGAATTTCAGGATCGTATATTCAATTTCATCGCCCCATCTCAGCTGATCACCTTCGCGGCCTTTCAGGCGCTCATAAAGTGCAATAAACTGTGCAATACCGTGCTTCTGCAATAATCCCCGAGAATTTATCCATTTAAATGCTTAAAAATACAGCGTCTCTGTTAAGGCAAAAATTCTTTCATATATTTGCTCTCTGAGAAAAACGGAGGCGCTCATGAAGTAGCCCGAGTGGTAGCAAGAGTCAAAAGCAAATCGCGCGCTAGCAAGACAAAAGATGGTTCATTCTTTCGAGGGTTGCTTAGGAGCAAGCTGATGATGATGAGTTTAATTCTCTGGCATATGTATTAGTTCAGGCCCCCCATTCTCTTTCAAATCCTTGCCAAGAATATTCAAAAAAAAAAAAGAAAACTTCTACAACACTTAATACAAATTTTTACAATCGAAACGAATGAACGAATCGTAGAGGGATTGGTTGTCTCATCGACCGAATGATCAAAATAACTGGCGCAAATTTGCGAATCATAGTTATACGAAGCAAAAATTTGCAAAAATATAAAAGGGGAACCTCACCTTAATATAATCCACGTATGGTATCGTTTCTTTCCATGACAGCGGTGTCCCCTGCGTCAGCAAACCCATCTAAGCTGAAAGGGAGAAAAAACCTATAACAATCGGCATAGGCCTAAAATTTTGCTTGGAGGTAGGAACTGGAAACAGGGGCGGGGTTTTAGGGAGAGGGGGGGGGGCGGGGTGGATGCTCCT